TTGTTTTAATTGCAATGACTGTCGTGCATATGGTTTCTACTGCTTACGACTTAAACATAAACGCCCCTCTAATTGGCACAACTGTTATGTAATACGTTGTTTATAACAGTATGCAGGTTATGTCACATAAGACAAGTGCTGATGTATTTTAACAGCGGGCTGTGTGCTTAACCCTGCAAAGCCTGGGCCCCGACATATAAGCGAATAGTTAAAGAAATCTGATTTTACTCAAATGGAAAAAGTTGAAACTTTAGATAAAATATTAATAAAATCTAAAAGGAAAAAATGAATATGTGTTTTTCTTGAGTATTATTTTACATCAAGCTTTTATGGCTAATATAGTAGGCTACACTGTAAAAATCAATAAGCTGTAATTGTTACCTTAAAGAGCAACCTTTACCTGATTTAACCCATGAAAATAAATAAACAAATAAATAAAAATTTAATTAAATTAGTATAAATTAATGTATTTAGGTTGATTTAGTGCTGCTATTTTATTAATTTTTTTTATAATTTTTTTATTTGAATAAAACCAGTTAATTTAGATCTTTTTAGATAGTTTTATTCAGAAGCCCAAACTGAGCAAAAATATGCAACTTATTAAATATTTTTATTTAAATGGACAATAAGTAAGTTGAAATTCTGCCAATTTGTTTGTAAATTTGTATGTAATGAGATCTTTATAACAATATAACAGACTACTTTCATATAATTAGATCTTTTTAGATAGTTTTATTCAGAGGCCCAAACTGAGCAAAAATATGCAACTTATTAAATATGTTTATTTAAATGGACAATAAGTAAGTTGAAATTCTGCCAATTTGTTTGTAAATTTGTATGTAATGAGATCTTTATAACAATATAACAGACTACTTTCATATAAATAAAATAATAAAATATGTAAAAATACCTATAAATATCAGTGTCACTCTATACCTCCCAATTAGATATATTTAAATAGTAGTGTAGTTTTTATTGTAGGGGCAAAACAATTAATGCAATGCAGCACAATGATATCATGTTCAATACTAATATTTTAACACAGTTCGTCTAAAAAAGTTATTTATGGATAATCAAGTAAACCTAAGTTGCTTCAGACCAATAAGTGTTTATCTTGAATTATTACCAATATAAAAGTTATTCTAAGATTTCACAGCAAAAATATGCATGAACCAGGACCTGAAGAATGATACTAAAAGGCTTTTTACTTGCTAAATAAGTATAAACTATCAATAAGAAGACAAAAAGCACACTAGATTGTGTACAACAGGTTTTTCCAGCAACGTTTTGATCATGCTAATAGCATAGAAGCCTTAGAAATTTGTATTTTATCAAATATGATAAAGTAGGCTTAATAGGGTTAATTAGTACACTTCTATTCTCACAAGCATGGCCTTCTGGTAGCAAAAGAGCTTTTAACGGTATATTATCTTCCAATTTCACTATTACAGTTCTAAGATACTGCGGCTGAATCAAACAAACAGCAGCGCTGGTTCAAATAGCAGCACCGCTTCCTCAGAGAGCTCAGCCCTACCTCAAGGCAATGAGGAACCTATGAAGGGCAAAGATCTGGCAGTCTATCCAGACCTATTTGTCAGCTGAGCATTAGACAAATAGTACTGTATTTACTTTACCCTTTTTCATGTCTGCCTTCGCCACAGAACAGCAAAGCAACACGCAGTGTACAGCGGCACTGAATTACAATCGTGTAAACACAGCAGACGGAAATCATTCCAAGCTTTTGTGTAAATGAAAAGCAGGCCGCTCATGTTTGTGTCCTAGTGTGTGTGTTTAGATGTTTTAATCAACATCATTTAATGCTCGCAAGACATATCCTTCTGTGCTTCATAAGAGGTGGGTGTGCTGTGTTAAAATGAAACAGGTTTGTCTTCACTAGGTAGTCTTTAGTATACTTACTAGCTGCATTTGTCTTGGCTTGTTCCCTGTCTATTCAAATGTGCGTGGAAGTATGTATACCAAACATTTACACAATAGCCATTCATAGTGTTATATTTGTCTCTCTTGCAGTTTGCATAACTACACAGCTGAGTACAGCTGTAAACTTGTCTAATATGTTCACTAGAATTCATTGCCTAGAACGTTTTTGCAGTGCATCATAAAAACAGTTCATTTGGATTTTGATATAGGGCACTTGTTGAATGAGTAAACTGGAATTTGTTTACCTTAAATGTTTTTTTATGAGACCGTCGTATAGTTGCATAAGTCAGTATGGCGCATTTGAGTTTGAGTCACTGCGGCAGTTTGGCCTGCAGTTGTTGTTGTCGAAAACATAATGATATGACATCACGTTATTGGAATGATAAGAGCAAGACATAATTCAGATAAATAATTTACACTACCGTTTTAATCATTTGCTCACCAAGGCTGCATTTATTTGATAAAAAATACCGTAAAATTGTGAAATAATATTACAATTTAAAATAAGTGATTTCTGTTTGAATATATTTTAAAATGTAATTTATACCAGTGATGCAAAGCTGAATTTTCAGCATCACTACTCCAGTCTTCAGTGTCACATGATCCTCATCATTCTAATATGCTGATTGATCAATTTAATGCAACCTTGCCAAATTACAAAAAAAAAAAATCTGAAGAAAAATTACTGACACCAAACTTTTGAACAGTATATACCGTAAACTTGTACCATAAGTTACATTGATAAGAAATGTCTAAATAATAAATAAATAAATAATATCAATGTAATATGTGGCAAAAGATTCAGTAGTTTAGATAAGGGCACAAAACATGATATAGTCTGTATTTAAAAGCATTATATAGTGTTTTCTTAATCTATTAGGCTGATGATACATGGGGCAACTTTTTGAGCAATGTTGCTGTCAATGGGCCACCAGATGAGACACAGAGCCCAAGACTGATCTAAAATATCCAGATAGAAATTTGTTACCCATTCTCAATGGAAAAGTGCCCAAGCAAAATTGCTCATAAAACGTTGCTCTGCAAAATTGCTCAAAAAGTTGCCCCGTGTATCATCAGCCTTAGAGTAGGACATTAATGCTCCTTGCATCGGTTGATTTCATCTTATGTGTGGATTATTTGGTTTTATTTAGTGTGAATCTCCGGTTTCAACAGCTCTGTAAGTAACAAACAATGTGATATGCGGCCAGCCAATGTTAACGTTATTTTAATCAAAACACAAAGCATTATTTACCCCGTTTGTATCTGCGAGGCATCCGTTACACATTTGCCCTGTGTTAACATCAGTATTTGTGACTGTCGAATGTCTTACTACTTGACTCGTATTTCGCGAACTGAACTTTTCATCAAGCCCACCATTGCACAGAGAAAAAGACTTGACAAATGAACACTGCCCAAGCAAAATTGCTCATAAAACATTGCTCTGCAAAATTGCTCAAAAAGTTGCCTCGTGTATCATCAGCCTTAGAGTTTATTTGGCTTTTAGAAAGTGGTTCTTCCTGCTTACAATGGCCTTGATCACTTGGCAGGGCATGTAATAAGGGTCTGGGGTTTGGGTTGGGTGTCTCTGTGGAGTGCCACCTAAACCTCTTATTATAGCACACAGGAATGCCTAAACTCAACTGTGGCAAACACTAACCACAGATTTGCAAGTTATCACGTGAATCACTGATATCTGATAACCCATGACATACCAATACTGCCACAGTTTCCTCTCGCTTTTCTATCCAGCAGTATATTGTACACTTAATGGAAAGTGCTGTCAGTATGGGTGCAGCAGACAATTTGATCTGATATGTTATAGAGGAATCTTATAACTGATATGCATGCAATAAAATGTCACCACTGTCAGACAGGACATCTTACAGTTTTGGCAGCTGACAGTGCAATATATTGTATATCGCTAATGTATTAAATGCAGGAGCCATTATGTTTTTCTGATTAACTAATAAGACCAGTACTTAAAATGAAAGATCCAATCTAAAAAACGGTTACTTTATCAGTATGTGCGGGAGGATATATGAATAATAAATAATAATAAATATAAGCATAATTGCATACAATTAGGGCAGAGTGGGGGAAAACGCTTCTGTGAAACAAAAGTTAAATGTGTTCAGAAAAGTTATCATAGTTTTAGTGACAATGACATAAATTATAAACCAAGTATGAAAAATGTCCAGAGTTTTCATGTTATTAGATTTTTTAACAAAAATTACATTTGTACCAAAGGGGCGTTTTGCCCCACAGGTGGGGTATAAAAAAAAATAAAAATTCTATTCCTTTTTTAATTAACATCCTTCTGTCAGGAATGTTTATTTTATATTATCTATATTTCTATTTATCTTAACTTTGATATTTGTATCTGTATATTGGTATCTGTATTGAATAGTTCACCCAAAAATGAAGTTTTCATGATTTTCTTTTTTCTTTTTTTCACCTTCATGTCGTTCCAAACCCGTATGACTTTCTTTTTTTCTTCTCACTTGGTGATATTTTGCATGGTGGGAAACCAAATAACATTGTAGCCCATTGACTTCCATTGTGTGGACAAAAAAAAAAAAAAAAACACTTCTCATGTAACACTTCAAAATATCTTGAAGCAAGAAAGTCACACAGGTTTAGAATGAGATGAGTAAACAGTAGACAGTAGGCCTATATAATCGTGAACTATCCATTAAGGGTTAGTGAGTGATAATGTAATACAGTATGTGGGAAAAAAACATCCCAAATGCATCACAATAACAAAGCTTGCTTCAACTGCCTCATTTTGATCACTAGGCAATATCTATATAATTTAATAATGTAAAACTCATTTTTTAAACGTTTCGCTCGAAGAGTCTGCTTGTGGTATGTGGCTTTCAAATAAATGCCATTGGTTTTGACATTTTGCTTATATAGCCTAATGGTGCAAGGTTAAGTGTCCAAATATTTTGGCTGCCACGATAGATGGATGGATGGATAGATAGATAGATAGATAGATAGATAGATGTCACCTGTTTGAGCGTCTGTGGGTCTGTCTCCATATGAGAGCGGAGGAGGAGGAGGAGGAGGAGGAGGACAGGTGAACGCAGCTGGCAGTGAGGAGCTGCTTGTTCGCAGGCCTTTAGGGGGAGTGTTGAGACGCGTGGAGACCGAGACTGGCACCGCGTCTGTGTGAAGGGGGAGAGGCTGGGAAACGACGGGAGCACAAGCGAGGCAGAGCTTCACCGTCTGTGGCCCTCTGTCCCCTCGTCCTCGAAGCCTGCAAAAAACACATCGCCCTGCCGATAACAAGGACGCGGAGCGATCGAGGGATAGACGCCACCGCTGTCGCGCCAGAACCGGGGAGATGTCCACGGTGAGTCAGATCTTTTTCTAGGGTGATCAGTCATGTTTTATGTAGGGCTGCTTTCTAGTATGATTTCTGATGGACAAACGTTATACAAGCGTTTGCCTTGTATAGAGGACATTCGGAAGAGTCGGATACGTGCGTGTAGACGGCTTTAATGCAGCATTAGCCCTGAGTTTTGACATGGCGAATAAGCAACGGCCAAATGCAACACCCCTCTCTCCATTCACACCAGCGATATATTCAAGATTTAATGCAATGCCTGTCTTAGCTCGCACTGCTGATATTGCCCTAAAGGTCGAGCGCTCCCGCAAAATAACCTGCAAAACCGCAGCTGCCGGTGTGTAAATAGATGTCATGCGTGAGGCTTGAGGCATAAGGCTTGATGTTCATCTGATGTTTGAGTTGAGCGTGTTTGCCTCTGTAAAACAAGGCGATGATGACTGATGCGTTGGAATGTTCCGCGCGTTATGATCCCTATAACATGTCCACCGCAGATATGGACCGAGTGGACGTGTGCACGGCCCGTGGCGCGCTAGAGTTGGGCATTTTTGGGTGGAGGACGGGGCTGTGTAGCCCACACTTGGCGGCCGGGTGTGACATGCTGTGTTGCACAAGTATCCGCACACTGTTACTGTAACAGCCTCGACACGGTCACTGCTGCGAATATGGTACACACGTACACACACACACACACTGAACGCTGAACACACACTCAGTGTTATGTAACGAACGAAACATCTCCAAACGGCCTATATGGGAGAAATGCTGCATAGTTCTTCTGGCAACATGAGCCATCGATGAAGCGCCTGAAATTTTGCAGCATGCATATGTTATGGCGAACAGTGGTTGATGTTTATACGTGCACGCGTCGATGCTTTCTAGCGTAAATAGGCGTTTATGTTCTTTTTTTTTTTTTAAATGGAAGCACAATTTGACTGATGCAGCTGTCTTCCATAAGAGGAAACGGGGATTTAGATTAATAACAAATAGTGTTGAGACTGATGCGACACTGCGATCTCTATATCTGCATTATGTAACATCAGCGTACGGCTGCTGAAATGTCGTGCAAACGTCCCGAAGGGACTACAGCGCGATACATATACAGCCACATAGGCTATATGTGCAGTTCTCATCTTTAGTATGGCTTCAGATTCTGAATATGACTCGGAGTAGATTGGTTATGAGCTTACATGTATTGTACTGTGTCATTAGGTCGTTGTTTCATCAAAATGAGCGATGTTCGGTTCGTGAATGAATCATTGTTTTGAGTTGGAGCTCATCGATGAATTGGTTCTCAGAACCGAGTGATTCGTTCATAAATCGGACTGAATCGTTCCTAAGCGGTTCTCGAGTGAACTTGCTAGAAATAGCATACTAGCACTATACTCTTACTGTTTCTATCATACTATATCTTATTTCTATTGTGTAGAACCATTGTGGTAAAATGTAAGTTGCTTTTAATGGATGCTTTTGACATTTCTGGTTTTCTCAGAAGTGGAAGTTGTAACTGGGTTAATTTAGTAATGCTGCGTTCAAGTCCTCCTGGGACGGTCGTACTTACGAGTTGACAAGTCGTAATTACGACGTCAGGTGCGTTCAAGTCAGTTTAGTCGGTACAAGATGGCGGTGTACCTTCTTTTAATAAATTACAAGAAAATACAACAGGGTCTGTTAACTCTGCTTATAGAAAATGAAGAGCAAAGAATTCGCATCAGGTGTGTTTTGCGTTTTTAATATTTTTAAAAAGTAATTTATGAAGCCACTTTAATCTGTATCGCATAAAAACTTGTTATTAA